ATTGACCGAAGCGGACTTTCTCGCCGGCTTTCACAGTGAACTGGGTGTCTTTCACCCCCCGGAACACATCCTCACACTTACCAGGGTGTCTCAGCTTCTGCAGGGCCTGGGTCAGCAGGAAATGCAGCGTTTTGAAGTGGAAGTTGTCCCGGTATTCCTGGCTGGATTTTCCAGCCTCGCGCACGGCAGCGTTGAACTCCCGGTACACGTCCTCCATGGTGTAGGCCATGAGGGCGATGGCCTCAGCCTGGGACAGAGGGGATGAATCGGAGCCCCGCTCCTGCCACTCGGCCGTGGCCTTCACCCAGACCTGGGAAAAGTTCTTGTTCTGCTGGAACTCAGAGCTGTTGAGGGCCGACAACTCCCCAGCCATGGCGGGGCCGCAGTTCAGGTACTGGTCATCAAAGGAGTTCGGGGCCATGTCCAGGGGAAATACCCTGATGGCCGTGGATGGCAGAACCATTGCCAGCAGAGCCAGGGTCTGAGCCAGGGGGGCCATGGAGAAGAGAGGCCACGGGGAGCAGCGTGGGACACTGGGGGACACAGAGGGGACACAGAGGGGACACAGAGGAGACACGGCGTGACACAGGGCGGACACTGGGGGACCCCAGGGGATGCTGAGGGACACTGATGGGACACAGGGGACGCTGAGCAGACATTGATGGGACACAGGGGACGCTGAGGGACTTGGTGGGACATGGGAGGGTTTCTTGGGGAGGGGCTATGGAGGAAGATTGGGGGCAGCCTGGGGAGACTGAGGGGCAGCCCCAACCTAGCGACACCTGGACCTGTCCTAGGACTCTGATCCCAAATCCTGGGAACACTCCTGGAGCTCTCCCCAGTGTCCCCCAGACTCCCAATCCCATTCCCACAGTCCTATATCCTATATCCTATATCCTATATCCTATATCCTATATCCTATATCCTATATCCCATATTCTATATCCTATATCCTATATCCATCTTGTCAGCCCCCCTGCAGGACCCTGACTCAAATCCTGCCGTCAATCCCTGACCCTCCCCAAGCAACCCCAGTGCCCCCTGCACCCCAATCCCACTCCCACCGTTCTGTCCCCCCCTCCCGGTGTGTCCCAGTGCCTCTGTTACCCCAATCCCTTGAACCGCTCCCGGTGACCCCGTGGCCCTCAGGACCCTGACCCAAGGCCTGGGGTCCCCCCAGCCCCCGATACCGAAATCGGCCAGAATTATCTCTCTGATAGAACTGGAGGTATCAGATAGCCGGAATCCCTTATCAGCTCCGTTTCACAGTGCGTCTCTCCTGGTCCTGCAGGTCACGGGGGACTTTGCCACAGGGAATTTATCCAGCGTAATTATAAATATTCATTACAATTCATCCCTTAGCTAGTACAGAAACTTCACTTTTCCTAGAAATAATTTGCATGGTCCTGCCTCTTTCCAGAAGTCCTTTTACGGTCCTGGAGAGTCTTAAAAATTTTGTTTCTCAGTGTGGTTCTCACTGACTGCCCCAATATCCCAGATGACCTCGCCTTGAACTTTTGCTTTGGGCAGGCGCTGCTCCTTCTGTGATCCAGAACTTGCCAAAAACCCCTCACTGGAGTTCCCTTTTTGTGCTCCTCCACAGATTTCAGCCACCTTTGCCCTGCTGTGTCCACACTTCTACATCCTTGTGTGGGTTTTTGCCCGTTCATCTTTGAGCCCCATCCAGCACCATTAAGGGATCTGAAACTTTCTGTTCTCTCTCTTATTACTCACCCACTCACCCGCACAATCCCACTCCCACGCTCCCATGGCCCCCCAGTTCCCCCAGCCCCACTCCCCACTGCTCACTGAGTTGCTGCCACCCCTCAGATCCCAAATGGGGTCCCCTATCCGATGACATCCCTGCAGGCACCTCGAGCCTGGGGATGATCTCTTGGGGCAGTGCCTGGGTCACTTCCCTGGCCTTGTTGGTGTGGCAGGAGAAGCTCTGGACCCCAAAAAAGGGATCCACCAACACCAGGAGATACCTGAGCCCATGCTGGCGTGGTAGCTCAGAAAATCCCTTTGCCAGTAATCCCCGGGAGTGTTTCCTCTTCCAGCAATGCCTGGAGGTGATGGGTTTGAATTCCAAGGGCTCTGTTTGAAACATATCGGGCTTTGCTCTGCAACAGACCTGACAATTTTGTCCTGTGGACACTGAGGATCTGAGGCCACAGACCAGTCCTCATCCCATCGATTTCCCAGAACTTTGCTGGTGCTCTGTGAGGTCTTGGCAGCCCAGAGTGCATTTTTTGAAGGTCTTTAAAAAATAACCTCTTTATCCTCCTAACTCTTGTCTAGTCTTGTTCTAGGCAGGCACTCCAAGGCATCATGCTGAGACCAAACGCTGCCCATGAGCTTTGGAAGAGGAGCTAGAACATGCAGTGGAGGCCGGTGGGCCTACAGACCTAAGGTCCATTACAGGACCTTTACACAGCTCAGCAGACACAGCCCAAATTGGGGAACTCTCCCTGTTCAGGGCGACTGAGCACAGCCTCTCCCAGCATGCTTTGTTGTGTATGCAAATGTGCCCCAGTCCTGCCTCTCTGGTTGGTCTGCTGGCCTCTCCACCCCTTTTCCCTTATTAGTACATACCCTAGAATGTTCTCCCTGCCCTGCTTCCCCATTGGCCCTATTTTGCCACAGTGCCCCGCCCCCTTCACCCTATTGGCTGCCACCCCTTGTCCCGCCTCTGTGCCACCCTCAGCCCTCAGCCCATTGGCCCTGATGCTCGGCTCCGCCCCCTGTCCCCCATATTTAAAAGTGGCTGCTGCACTGTTCTTTTGTCTTTGTCCCTGACCCCTTCTGTGCAGGAATAAACCTCCTCCCCACAACCCACACAATGACTCTTCCCTTTTCTTTATTTTTGGCAATTCTGCAAGAGCCACAGAAGCGTGTGCTGGAGTGATTGTGTGTGTGTGCCTCTGCCACTGAGCAGCTTCGTTACTGGAGATGCTTCTGGGAGGTCACGGCACCACTGCCTCTCGCTCCACCGTCAACAGGCCAGCAGCTCACAACGTCCTTCCTCCCTTCCCAGCACCGGCCGTGAGGATCACCACATGGATTATGGGGATCACCACACCGGCCGTGGGGATCACCACATGGATTATGGAGATCACCACACCGGCCGTGGGAACCACCACATGGATTATGGGGATCACCACACTGGCCGTGGGGATCACCACATGGATTATGGGGATCACCACACTGGCCGTGGGGATCACCACATGGATTATGGGGATCACCACATGGATTATGGAGATCACCACACCGGCCGTGGGGATCACCACATGAATTATGGAGATCACACCGGCCGTGGGGATCACCACATGGATTATGGGGATCACCACACCCATCATGGGGATCACCATGCCCATTGTGGGGATCACCACATGGATTATGGGGATTGTCACACTGGCCGTGGGGGTTGCCACACCCATCGTGGAGATCACCACATGGATTATGAGGATCACCACACTAGCTGTGGGGATCACCCCATCGATTACAGGGATTGCCACACTGGCTGTGGGGATTGCCACATCCATCATGGGGATCACCACATGGATTATGGGGATTGTCACACTGGCCGTGGGGATCACCACACCCACTCTGTCCCTCTAGAAGAGTCACCTCAGCACTCCCTGATGGCCACGGGTCTGTCATCGTAGCAGGTCCTGCTGGGCGTGGTCCCAACCACACCCGCACAGAAACCGGTGCTGAGCGGGTGGGAAACGCCTGCTCTTGTGGTATTGTTTGTTCTCTTCTGGGTTTTGTATTTTCTAGCAAAAAAGAGTTATTCCTTTTCCTACCTTTTTGCCTGAAAGCCATGTAATTTTTGGAGTTACACTGATTCTCTATCCACTCCAGGAAGGTTCCTGACTTCCTGGGCATTTGTTGCTTAAACCAAAACACTTCTTGGCACTCAATATGAGGTTTAAGAGGAAGGGGGGAAAATAGAAGAACAGTTCTCGGGTGACCCATTTGTGTATTGGGTCTAGAAACCTTGTCAGGTGTCACCGTGGGGCCCAGCTCATCCCAGTCCAGCTGGTGGACAATCGTGGCTATGCTCTGTCTCTGGAGATCACTGTCTGAACATGGCCCCACAACTGAGGCCATTGTGGCGGCTCGTAGGTTTGTAGAACGGGTCACCTGAGGAATTTAATGCTGTACATCTCTTTTGAAATGTGTACCTGTGGCAACAGAACCATCACAGCCCAGGTTCCTGTCTCTGGGACTTCATCAACAATGGTACCAGTTTCGGAGGAGGAAGGCAGGGGAGTGTTCTCTGCCAACCCCTCACCCACTTCTTTAGGTCCACCACCACAGCTTTTCAGGGGCTTCAATCCCCTCTGGATGCTAAAGACACCAGGAAGGGTCCCACCTTCCTAGGCAGACATTTTACGTTCCAAACACAACCTACAAGGTCCAGCAAGACCCCCCTTGGCTCTTCCACTCCTGGCATCCACTGTTATCCTCCAAAATCCACAGGAACTTCCCAGACTCCGACTCTCAGTTGTCACTTTGGAGCCTGAAATTCCAGTGTCCAGTTCCAGCCGTGAGATAAAAGACCTGGAATTAGTGCTCTCCTCCAGTGGAGGTGAAGGGTCTACAATTGTTAACTATTAAACTAGATTTAGATAAACCCACGAGTTGCCTTCTCATTCCCCCCCACCTGATCCTCTCCTGCTGACTTCGAAGGGTCTGCAGTGACAGCACAAGGCAGAATGGCTTCCCACTGCCAGAGGGCAGTGATGGATGGGATATTGGGAAGGAATTCCTGCCTGTGGGGGTGGTGAGGGACTGGAACAGATTTCCCAGAGAAGCTCTGGCCGCCCCATCCATGGGAGTGTCCAAGGCCAGGCTGGACGGGGCTTGGATACCCTGGGACGGTGGAAGCTGGCCCTGCCCATGGGCTGATGAACAACATGATCCTTAATGTCCCTCCAAACCCAAACCACCCTGGCGTTCTGTGAAAATGGGAAATAAAGCTTTAAGAGGAGAAAATTGATGGTGAAGCAGAGGATAAAGGGATAAAGCAGAGGATAAAGCAGGGCTGAGGCACCCCACGGACCCCAACCCATGGGGTCCCAAACCCCATCCTGGGCCAGGACCCTGCTGTGGTAACAGCGACATCCCAGGGGGATCTCCCAGGAACTGGGGGCAAATCCCAGAAATCCTTTATTGGCAGGACACTGCAATGGAGTGGAATTCCAACTTTCCAGAAGGATTTTAGGGGGAATGAAGGAGCTGGAGTGATCCCCCCAGGAAATTTGGGGGAACACAAACTGACTTCCTGGGGTTGGGAGAGCTGGTGGTGGGAGCAGCAGGATACCCACGGAACTCCCCCCAACTGGGGGGGCAGGAGGGGCTCTGGGGGGGGGCTCAGTGGCCCCTCCTTGTGCGTAGCCAGCTGGACCTTGGATATGGAGTGGGAACAGGGCCAGAATCAGACCCTGGAATCTGCAGCTGGAGTGGTTGGGAGGGGCAGGTGGGACTCTCCTGATGCAGATACCCTTCAGGATGACAGTGGAACTCCTTTGCTCCCAAATTCCATTGGAATTCAATTCCCATGGAGGCTGCAGATGGGACCCCTCACTCCAGACTCCAGATCCCAAGAGAGCTGCAGGTAGGACGCTCTATGCTCCAGATCCCAAAGGAGGTGGGACCCCCCCCCATTCTAGAATTCCCCTGGAATTTGCTTCTCACGGAGGGTGCAGGTGGGACATGCCTGATCCAAGGGAGGCACAGGTGGGATCCCTCTGAACCAGATCCCAAATCCCAGATCCCAAGGGAGATGCAGGTGGGACCCCCTCATCCAGATCCCAAGGGAGGCGCAGGTGGAACCCCCTGATCCAGATCCCAGATCCCAAGGGAGGTGCAGATGGGATCCCCCGATCCAGATCCTCCCAAGGGAGGCGCAGATGGGATCCCCTGATCCAGATCCCAAGGGAGGCGCAGATGGGCCCCCCAGCCTCAGGCACAGGGCTCACCTGGCCCAGGTGAGATCCCAGGAGGAAAAGCGGAGCCGGAGCCGACGGAGAGCAAAGCCAAACTCTTGAAACACACGGACTCGGGATGGGGGGCAGGGGGGCAGTTCCTGGGCGGGGGATTTGGGGTTTTCCCCCGGCAGGGCCGGGACGGACGGACGGAGCCCCTCAGGAGCCCGGGCAGGCGGGACGGGGATCAGTGCAGCCGAGGGCAGGAGCCATAAAGTGCAGCGAAGCTTCCCGGAGCTCCCGGCGCGGCTCCGGCAGCGGCTCCGGAGCTCCGGGATTCCTGGGGGGCTCCGGTGTCCAGGGGGAACACGGGGACACCGTGACACCGGGGGGGACACAGCTCGGGAAGGACCAGCGCCTCTGGGACAGGCCCGGGTCCTTTCCCAGTTCCATTCCCGGTTCCGTTGCTGGTTTGGTTGCCAGTCCTGGCTCCGTTCCTGGTTCCTTTCCTGGTGCCAGTTCTGTTCCTGGTTCTGTTCCCAGTTCTGGTTCTATTCCTGGTTCCATTCCCAGTCCCGGTTCCATTCCTGGTTCAGTTCCTAGTCCTGGTTCCATTCCTGGTTCCATTCCCAGTCCCGGTGCTGGTTTGGTTCCCAGTCCTGGTTCCATTCCTGGTTCCATTCCCAGTTCCATTCCTGGTGCTGATTCCGTTCCTAGTCCCAGTGCTGGTTCGGTTCCCAGTCCCATTCCTGGTGCTGGTTCCGTTCCCAGTCCCAGTGCTGGTTCGGTTCCCAGTCCCGTTCCCAGTCCCGGTTCCATTCCCAGTCCCGTTCCCGGTGCTGGTTCCGTTCCCAGTCCTGTTCCCGGTGCTGGTTCGGTTCCCAGTCCCGTTCCCGGTGCTGGTTCGGTTCCCAGTCCCGTTCCCGGTGCTGGTTCCGTTCCTGTTCCCGGTGCTGGTCCGGTTCCCAGTCCATTTCCAGTCCCATTGCTGGTTCTGTTCCCGTTGCCGGTTCCGTTCCCGGTGTCTCGGATCCCGCTGGGAATCTCACATGCACATCACCTGCGGCCTGGAACGAGGCCAGGACAGGGAGGGTCACCTGCCTCACCTGCGGCCACGCCCCCAGCCCCACCCACCTGTCCTGCCTCACCTGTGGCCACGCCCCCCACCCCACCCACCTGTCCTCCTGCCTCACCTGCGGCCCCGCACTGCCCCGCCCACCCACCTGTCCTCCTCGATGGCGCCGCCCTCGCCCTCGGGGTCGCCGCTGTCGCCCTTCTCGGCGTCGCCCTCGCCCAGGTCCATGTCCAGCTCGTTCCCGGTGTCCGGGCGGGTGTAGGCGTAACCACTGCGGGGAGGGCCACAGGTACAGGGAATCCCCTCGGGAACACCCCCCAACCCTGGAATTCCAGGAATCCCCTCGGGAACACCCCCACTCCCACGGAATTGCAGGGAACCGCCCTTGGAAATGGACCCTAGAATCCCCTTGAGAAAGGCCCTCAGAATTCCAAGGAATCCCCTCAGAAATGAGGTCTGGAATTTGAGGAACCCCCTTGGGAATGCCCCCTGGAATCCCCTGGGGAATGCCCCTGAATTCCAGGAATCCCCTGGGGAATGCCCCCTGGAACCCCCTCGGGAACACCCCCCAGAATTCCGGGAACGCCCTGGGGAAGAGCCCGGAATCCCGGGATCCGGGGCGCACCTGATGGAGCGGCAGGTGAAGAAGACGATCCTCTTGAGCCTCTTGTTGTAGAAGAAGTAATTGAAGGACCAGAGGCTCCCGTCCTCCCCGAAGGGATCCGAGTCCAGGTCCGGGTTGTAGCTGGGAACGGGAACGGCAGGAATGTCACGGGATTGGGGATGGGAACAGTGGGAATGTCACGGGATTGGGGACGGGAATGTCACGGGATTGGGAACAAGGACAGTGGGAATGTCACGGGATTGGGGATGGGGACAGTGGGAATGTCACGGGATTTGGAACAGGGACAGCAGGAATGTCACGGGATTGGGGATGGGGACAGCGGGAATGTCATGGGATTGGGGATGGGAACAGTGGGAATGTCACGGGATTGGGGACGGGAATGTCATGGCATTGGGAACAAGGACAGTGGGAATGTCACGGGATTGGGAACAGGGACAGCAGGAATGTCACGGGATTGGGGATGGGGACAGCGGGAATGTCACGGGATTGGGGATGGGAACAGCGGGAATGTCACGGGATTGGGGATGGGGACAGCGGGAATGTCACAGGATTGGGGATGGGGACAGCAGGAATGTCACGGGATTGGGAACAAGGACAGCAGGAATGTCACGGGATTAGGGACGGGAATGTCACGGGATTGGGAACAAGGACAGTGAGAATGTCACGGGATTGGGGACGGGAATGTCACGGGATTGGGAACAAGGACAGCGGGAATGTTACAGGATTGGGGACGGGAACAGCGGGAATGTCACGGGATTGGGGACAGGAAAAGTGGGAATGTCAGGGGATTGGGGACAGGAAAAGTGGGAAAGCCACCCCAAATCCCAGCTAGGTGGGGAGAGGGGATGGCAAATTCCGGAGGTTAGGAATTCCAGGGGTTGAGAATTCCAAAGGGATGGGAGAAGACGCCAAAAGCTCCATGGCAGTGCCACCAAGCCCACTCTGGCCGTGTCCAGGACATCCCAAATCCCAGCTGGATCGGGAAGAGGGAACACTCAAATCTCTTGGGGTTGGGAATTCCAGGGATTGGGAATTTGCAAGGGTGGGAATTCCAAGGGGTTGGGAAACTGTGACAACCCCAGGTCCTCCCCATGGCAGCAACACCAACCCTGCTCTGGCCCTTCCTCACAGCCAAACCAGCAGTTTTTATGGAAAAAATGCCTGTCCAGGGACAGAATCCCTCGGGAAAAGGCCAGAATTCCACAGAAAAGGGTTGGAATTCCACGGGAAAGGGCCAGAATTTTATGGGGAAGGGACAGAATCTCTCAGGAAAAGCTGGAATCCCTTGGGAAAGGCTGGAACTCCTCGGGAAGGGCTGGAATTTCACAGGAAAGGCCAGAATCCCTTGGGAACAACTGAAATCCTTCAGAAAAGGCTAGAATCCCTCAGAAGAGTCGGAATCCCTCAGGATCAGGAAAGGACAGAATCCTGGGGATCAGGAAGGACTGGGATCCCTCAGGATCAGGCAGGGCCGGGATCCCTCGGGCAGGGCCGGGATCCCTGGGGATGGGGAAGGGCTGGGATCTCTTGGGAAGGGCTGGGATTCCTTGGGTAGGGCTGGGATTCCTCAGGAAGGGCCGGGATCCCTCGGGCAGGGCCGGGATCCCCGGGGATGGGGCAGGGCCGGCCCCAGGAGCCCCCAGACCTGTAGATGTCACACTCGGCCAGGCAGATCTCCTCATCCACCGCGTCCCACAGCAGCGGCTTCAGCGCCTTGAAATCCTCGCGCACGGCCGAGAAGAGGCTGCAGTTCACGGCATTCACCACCTGCAACGTGGGATTGGGACGTGGGACACGGAACGGGGACAGGGACACGGGGACAGGGACACGGGGACGGGGACAGGGACACGGGAACAGGGACACAAGGACACGGACACGGGAACAGGGACACGGGAACGGGGACACGGGAACAGGGACACGGGAACAGGGACACGGGAACAGGGACACGGGAATGGGGATGAAATCCTCGCGCACGGCTGAGAAGAGGCTGCAGTTCACGGCATTCACCACCTGCCACACAGGAACAGCAGGACGTGGGACACAGGAACGGGCACAGGGACACGGGAACGGGCACAGGGGAATGGGGACAGGGGACACGGGAATGGGGACTAGGGACACGGGAACAGGGACAGGAGAATAGGGACTGGGACACAGGAACGGGGACAGGGGACACAGGGACAGGGACAAGGGACACTGCAATGGGGACAGGGACATGGGAACGGGGACATGGGACACTGGAATGGGAATGGGGATAGCCCAAGAACAGGAACGAGGATTAGGGACATGGGAACAGGGCTGGACTGGGAACTGGAATGAGTGACACAGAAAGGGGCTAGCCCGTGAACGGAAATGGGGACAAGGGACACAGGAACAGGGACACAGCTGGCCAGGGAATGGGGATGAGGGACATGGGAATGGGGACACGGCTGGCCCGGGAACGGAAATGGGGACAAGGGACACAGGAACAGGGACATAGCTGGCTTGGGAATGGGGATGAGGGACACAGGAACGGGGACATGGGACACTGGAATGGGAATGGGGATAGCCCAGGAACAGGAACGAGGATTAGGGACATGGGAACAGGGCTGGACTGGGAACTGGAATGAGTGACACAGAAAGGAGCTGGCCTGTGAACGGAAATGGGGACAAGGGACACAGGAACAGGGACACAGCTGGCCAGGGAATGGGGATGAGGGACACAGGAACGGGGACAGGGCTGGCCCGGGAATGGGGACAAGGAACACAGGAACAGGAACAGAGCTGGCCCGGGAATGGGGACAAAGGACACAGGAACAGGAACGGGGCTGGCCCGGGAAGGCGCTGCCCAGAGAGGCTGCGGATTCCTCGCTGCCGGGAGCACCCGAGGCCAGGTTGGACGGAGCCTCCAGTGACTGAAGGGACTCCAGGGCAGCGGGCATGGGCACAGGGTGACACGTGGGCCCAGGGAATGCCGTTCCCAGCTGCAGCAGCTGCATATGGAGGCATATGGAGAAGCAATTCCTCGCTCTGGGAGGAGGGAAGGGATGCAAAGGACACCCGAACGGCTACAGCTGCCCTATCCCCGGGCGTGTGCAAGGCCAGGCGGGAGGAGTTTGGAGCTGCTCCTGCTCCAGCTCCCCCGGGTGTGATCCCACCCTATTCCGTGCTCCACACCCACTTGAAGCTGCAAGCACGAATGAACTGATGGCTGTCCCAGTCCCCCCCAGTCCATCCCAGTCCCATCCCAGTCCCTCCCAGTGCCCGTACCCAGTTGAGGCTGGGCTCGTGGCTGTCCCAGTCCCTCCCAGTGCCCCCAGTGCCCGTACCCAGTTGAGGCTGGGCTCGCGGCTGAACTCGTGGCTGTCCCAGTCCCTCCCAGTCCCCCCAGTGCCCGTACCCAGTTGAGGCTGGGCTCGTGGCTGAACTCGTGGCTGTCCCAGTCCCTCCCAGTCCCTCCCAGTGCCCGTACCCAGTTGAGGCTGAACTCGTGGCTGTCCCAGTCCCTCCCAGTGCCCCCAGTGCCCCCAGTGCCCGTACCCAGTTGAGGCTGGGCTCATGCCTGAACTCGTGGCTGTCCCAGTCCCTCCCAGTCCCTTCCAGTGCCCGTACCCAGTTGAGGCTGAACTCGTGGCTGTCCCAGTCCCTCCCAGTCCCCCCAGTGCCCCCAGTGCCCGTACCCAGTTGAGGCTGGGCTCGTGCCTGAACTCGTGGCTGTCCCAGTCCCTCCCAGTGCCCCCAGTGCCCGTACCCAGTTGAGGCTGGGCTCGCGGCTGAACTCGTGGCTCTTGGCGGCGCTGAAGTCGTAGTCGGGCCGGAAGGCCTCGTTCAGGGTGGCGATCAGGTAGAACAGCGTCTTGCGGCTGCACGTGTCGCTCAGTGGGCCCTCGCCCTGCCTGGGGACACAACCGGGGTCACTGGGGGCACAACCGGGGTCACTGGGGGCACAACCGGGGTCAGTGGTGTCACTGGGGACACAACTGGGGTCACAGGTGTCACTGGGGACACAACTGGGGTCACTGGTGTCACTGGGGACACAACCGGGGTCACAGGTGTCACTGGGGGCACAACTGGTGTCACTGGGGGCACAACTGGTGTCACTGAGGACACAAATAGGGTCACTGGTGTCACTGGTGTCGCTCAGCAGGCCCTCGTTGCTGCCTGGGGACACAACTGCGATTACTGGGGACACTGGGAACACAGCCGGGGTCACTGGGGACAGGACTGCTGTCACTGGTGTTACTGGGGGCACAACCGGGGTCACTGGTGTCACCAATGTCACCGGGGTCAGAACTGGTGTCACTGGGGTCACTGGTGTCACTGAGCAGACCCTCCCCCTGCCTGCCAGTGTCTCCGGTGTCCCCGGTGTCACCACAGCGTCACAGGGACATGGGGACACCGCTCCTGCAGCCAATCCCGCAATTCCGGAGCTGCCCCTGGGGCTGATCCCAAACTCCCAGAGCTGATCTGAGATCCTGGGCAGATCCCAGAGCTGATCCCAGAGATCCCGGGCAGATGCCAGAGCTGATCCCTGAGATCCCAGAGCCAATCTCAGAGATCCCAGGAAAATCCCAGAACCAATCCTAGAGATCCCAGGCAAATCCCAGAGCTGATCCCAGAGCCAATCCCAGAGATCCCGGGCAAATCCCAGAGCCAATCCCAGAGATCCCAAGCAGATCCCAGAGCTGATCCAACAGATTCCAGGCTGATCCTGGGGCTGATCCTGGTGCCGATCCCAGTGCTGACACCAGGATGCCAGCACGGATCCCATGATCCCGGTGCCGACCCCATAATCCCAGTACCCATCCCAGGACCATGGATCCCAGAGCCCCAGTGCCAATCTCACGATCCCAGAACCACCCCAGAACCCCCCAGTGCTGATCCCAGTGCCCATCCCTGAACCCCCCAGTGCTGACCCCGTGATCCCAATACCAATGCCAGGATCCCAGTACCCACCCCAAGAGCCCAGAACTCATCCCGGGATCCCAGTACCCATCCCGCAATCCCAGTGCCCATCCCACAATCCCAGTGCCCATTGCAGTTTCCTGGCTGCCATCTCATTTTCCTGGTCCCATCCCAGTTCCCCCCCAGTTTCCTGATGCACTCCCACAATTTCCCAATGTGCCCATCCCAATTTCCCCCCATTTTCCCCCAGTTCCCCAGAGTGTCCCCCCCAGTTCCCGGTGTGTCCCCCCCAGTCCCAGGTGTGTCCCCCC